GCAGAAATTGGGGTGGGGGGTACGGTGGTGGATCTCCTCTGTTTGCCAATAAAGTTGAAGTCTTGCCTACCTAAAATCCTAACTCCAGTAAAAAATGCTGGTTGCTTTAAAGCACATTTGAACTTGAATTTGCGCTCAAAGCAACACTCATGACCGACTTCTACAAAAACGAAGGCATCATGCTATTTTGCTGTTGTATTTGCGTGTATGCAATACTATGTTTTACATAAATATTTTTTCGATCTAACAACATTAGGCGACTTAGAAATGCCTTTTTGTGGTTGTAACTTTTCTTCAAACCTTGTCCTAAAATACGTGAAATAGCGTTCAAATGAATCTAGAAATTCAAAATTTTCCTCGCACCTACGGCGCTCGCATTCGAAATCCATAAAAATTTTGCCCCCGCCCCCTCCAAAGGTGTAGACCACTGCAAAAGTTCTGAAAAACTGAACATTTATTTAAACTCTATACATAAATATTTTTTCGATCTAACAACATTAGGCGACTTAAAAATGCCTTTTTGTGGTTGTAACTTTTCTTCAAACCTCATCCTAAAATATGTGAAATAGCGTTCTAATGATCTAGAAATTCAAAATTTTCCTCGCGCCTATGGCGCTCGCATTCGAAATCCATAAAAATTTTGCCCCCGCCCCCCATCCGAAAGTTTAGACCACTGCAAAATTCTGAAAAATAGGTACGCAGTGCGTACATGTTGCATGCCATCTGAAACTTATGAAGCGCTATAGTGCTTATATAAATCTTAATTAGATACAACTGGCGTAAAACTTAAAATATCGATTCAATTAAGTTAAAATATGAATATATTTATTGAAAAATAACTGTTATGTCAAAATAAGAAAACTTAAAGGTGCCCTACAGTCATTTTTTAGTCAAAAAGCCACCTTAAGTAGGGGACTCCACAGAGATTTGTTTGGCTATACATATCTTACATGCAGTATCCATGAATATGAGTACTTCTGCACACCGGAAGATGGATGGATGGATGGATGGATACTTTATTGCGTGTTCCCCTAAGGGCTTTTCAACACTACATTACATATTAAAATTACTATAAATTACTTCTAAAACTACCTATGTTACATATACTTATTTAAAATTATAATTCTGCGTCAGTGGCAATTCATGGAAATGAAACGATGTCGTGCGAGTTGAGAGTCAGAACTTGCATAGAACTTAACCTAAACTTCGAGTTCTACCAAACCGACTTCCATTACGAAAATTTCAAACTTGTTTATGACCTAGAAGAAGCATCTCTCGAATGTGCGATCGATGGGGAATATTCATCAATATTTGCAATGCAAGCTTTAGCCTCCGTTCTTGGGCGAGAAATGTCGGTGTATCCAGCCATGAACGGCATGCTCGACAAAAGCATTAGTATATTGGACGTTGTTCTTCACCCAAGAATTTCCACTTTCAGAAATAATCTAAAGACAGACTATACCTAATGTGGACCAGATGTAGTGGAACCCTTCCGCGACAACGTAACAGAACATGGTTTCCTAACCACTTCGTCCCTTTACTAACATGGTTTCCTAACCACTTTGTCCCTTTGGTTCAGCAAGATATCCACCTAGCCCACAAGCTCCTCAATCGAACATCCATACACCGCCACAGAAGTTGGGCCGTGAATGTGACAAAAGTACATCGGTACCTCTAACAACGCCACTAATGACATCATCACCGTGTTTTGATAATAACCCTGAACTGGCCAGAAAACACGACAATACAAATGTTACCAAGTCACCAACCGAAACGTCCTCTTTATCCGACTCGTTAGATTCCCAATCATCCATCAGAAAAGACGAAAAAAAGAAGCCAAGTTTCAAGCCTCAACCCGTCAACTCACTACTTATGGAAGATACACAACAATCGTATGTGTCGTTATCGCAAGACCTCTCATCAGGAAAGTTGCAGACAGTCCATCATGATAATAAACAACAATCAACAAATAAACTAAACGGATGTTTCCTAGATGTTCAGTCGTTATGTGAACTTCTTCAACACAAATTATCGGTAATGCCGTCGACTCCAAAAGGTGTCAAAGAAGATGTGTATTTCGTACTAGAGAACTCAAACAATATTTCAAAAAGAATGCGTGGGGAAATAAGTAACTTCGAAGATGATTGTGGTGTATGGAATTCAAAGGTTTCGTCAACGAAAAAGACTGTTTTTCATCATGTTGATGGAAAGTTTAAAGTTATTGAAATGAAGAATGGGAAATACTGTACGAAAATACGGAAAGGTTGGGCAACCTCGTACCCAGGACTAGTCGTGAATTGAAGGCGGCGACATAGCCCTGGTAAACGCTGGTCACGTGACTCCAAAATTACGTAATTGTTACTTTTCTCAACCGGGGGGTGAATAGGTGAAACTCGAAGACAAACAGTTTTTATCTCCGAAATTCTTCAATCTTCCTTCTGAATTTTGCACTTCAAGCTTTTCTCAAAGTACGGCGATCGATCAAATGGATCAATACTTTCTGTAGAAAAAACTCAGTGAGATTTGTTCGTATGAGACGTTTAAAAGACATGGATATGTCGCCAAAGACGCTCGATCATTGCACAGGTTTATGGAATAGTACTTTGTTCATTTTGTTGCGACTTATGCAAATCCAACTCTTGTATAATGACTAAAAGTTGGTTTGTAGAGGGACAACTTATACAAAAGATATGAATACATTAACTTCAAACTAGGGACAAGTTCATGGACAAATGACAATGGACATCCCTAATATATGGACATTGATATTTCACCAATATGTAAATATGACTATTAAATATATAAAAGGATTGCTGTTGTATTACTTGTATATGTATATGTACAAGTGTTGTGCTGTGGTATCTATGGACTAGAATTTCTGAGGGGGTTGAAAAAGCCGTTTCTGAGGGGTTGTGTGCATCAGCATCCTTTGATCTTTGCATTTTTTCTGAGGGATAAGGCAAAAATTTCTTAATTTCTGGAAGGGGGGGTCGGCACTTTGATCTTTTTTTTCTTAGGGGTTCAAATTTTATTGAACTCGTCCATAGGGGTGTATACATTAAATAATGGAATGGCCCAATGCACCCAGATGCACCCTACTTTGTTAGTTTACTCTGTCTTACGCCAGACAATTTTACTCGTCAGGTGGAGGGTGCATGGCACCACTCAATGGGTTAACATAGTCGATAAACATGCCAAATGATCCTTGACCGTGGTAGTACATTTTTGCACTTGCTGGATGATATTGCAACCAAGCATTGTTTCAGAGGAAGAGCACTGAGATCATGCTGTGTAGCAATTGGAATCTTGCATAGAGCCTGCTCTCACATAAAGCAGGCAAGACCTTCACTCAGAAGCCAGTCCTGACACATAAACACTTGAAAACCAGACTGTCCCATCTGCCATATGCAGGACAAAAAAACATGCAGCCTGGACTTTAACTGTTAAACAACCAAATCAGCATGACAAACAGTGTGATGATTTTTGCTTAGCCCAAACCAAAGCCAGTTTTCTAGAATTAATTTGCAGAATCCTAAGAATTGGACCTCCAACTTGAAGAGCTAGCTGTGCTAACCAAGTTGCATGGGCAACCCTGAATTGACGTGACTAGAGCAAACCTTCAAAAATAATAGAGAGATCAGATTTGACTTCCACTACTGCTATTGCTATCATTAACTATTAACCAGATAAGTTTCATCTATCCAATCAAACAATCGGATGCAACTGCCAGATCAAGTAGTGGTAGTGGAAGTCAAATTTGAATCTTTCTATATGGATTTCAGAGAGACCAGTCTTTATTTGCTGATATATTATTATAATTTGTTTAATCAAAAGATACTATATATTAATTTATGACATTAAAAATTGATATAATTTTATCTATAAAGTGAGAATAATTTTAAAAAAATATTCATAACATAAAATGATTCATGCATGCTGGTGATTGAATAAACCATGAAGTGTGCATTCTGAATCTCTACAAATTCCTTGACATTATTTTCCAGTACAGTGTAAAACTATATATATAAATGTGACACAGGTTGCAGGTATTATACCAGTGTGCTGAAATACCACCCAGTGACTCGGTCTTGTTCATTGTTACTTGCATCTTGCTTAATTGAACTGTTTTTGCCCCATTTCTTGTACCCATAAAGTTATTTTCAATAGTCTAGAAAACTTCAAAATCATTCAGTAAATTTAATTTTAAAATTGGGTGAAAGGTAAGGGGTCAATAATAGATGAAGAAATCATTTCTTATTGTTCATACATATGGCCCCATCTCTGTCAGGTATTAGAGTAGAAATTTATTGAAGCCCGAAGTCAGAAAATAAATATGGCAACAAGGTTACACGCCATACTGCAGAGTTAGGCAATTTTTTTAAAGATCTCAAGGGCACAAAAGGTATAAATATAGATTGTAGGGGCAAGGGAACAAAATAATGAAATTTTGAGATTCAGAGGCAGGGTTTACAATGGGGTGCTAAAACTTTTCCCTAAAAAATCCCTGACCAGCTGGAGTGCTGAAACTGATGTTTGACTATTGAAATATCCTAGCAGGTTAGGTTCATCAGATTTTAGCTTTGTCAACCTGGCCACTCTGTTATTACAGTAATGGCTCATTTAAATAATTTCAGGTCATTACTGTAAATGTAAATACAAAGTATTTGAAGTTAATACTGCTGTAAAATGTAGTTTAATAATATTGTATTAAAGTGTAAACACGTTTCTCAAGTCTGGCCATGTGTTTCTCAATATTCACAATATTTAACTACAATTGTACAAATTCAACTATATTTAATAACATACTGTATAAAATATATTACAGTAAATAGCCTTCGAAATATATATTTCATAGAGCTAGACAGTGTATAAACAAATAATGGGAATCTGCTAAATAATTTGTAACAATGAAATACTTCTAAACATTTTCAAATTCCTATATACTGTACCTTTTCATACTTGATGGAAATCATCACAAATAGTATGTACGAGATTGGCTCCATTTTCACTGCTTCGAAATTCGAAACATCGCCTCCTCGGCGATTTACATGATGCGATATAAAAGAAGATTGATGTACATTCGACGTAATATATAAACGTAACATATTAAGAAGAAAGATTACAACAAAAAATAAAAGAATATAAATAATCCGCGGCAATTCAAGATCCATTCGTGAACTTTTCGTCGCCCCCCTGTCTTTATTTCCACAAAGCCCGCTCGCAGGCTAATAGTCCAAGAATCTTGGAGTATTTGCCTGACACGTGACCAGCGTTTACCAGGGCTATGTCGCCGCCTTCAATTCGCGACTAGTCCTGGGTACGAGGTTGAAGATTGGGTTCCTTTGGAGCCGCAACCTCTTGAAGACGAATTGATGATCATGAAACGATTCTACACCTCACTAAAAAGAAAACCAGACTATAAAAAAAGAATAACTTGGATTGAAAAGATGTCATCACAAATGAATGTTGCTTGTCACGGGAAAGCGGTTGCAGAATACGTTGGTGTATTTCCCTTAACCACTACCATGCACGGAAATGGTAAAAAAGGTAGCGGATACGTTAGAACTAGCTAAAGTACAAGAAAAGAAATCAATGACAGAGTCACAAATGCCCCTCCACGTAACGTCTACTGTAATATGGTGCTTGAAGATTCGATTGACGCCCCACGGAACTTGAAACAAATACAGAACATTAAACAAACAAATGCACGCAAACAAAGAGCCCCTGATGCGAACAGGAAAAATAATGCCGATGATGTACAAACGATTATGAACATGATGAACGATCATCCTTTTATTCAGGAAATAGTGCAAACGAAGGGTAAACCACCTATGGTCATCCTATACACAGAGGAACAGGTAAAGGATGTGAAAAACTTTTGTGTAACACGCAAAGACTCATCTATGAACTCTATCCTTGGCGTGGACAGAACATTTAATCTTGGAGCTTGCTTCGTTACATTGACGGTGTTTAAAAACAATCATTTGTTGAGACGTTCCACTCAACGACCTCCAATAATGCTAGGTCCATTGTTTTTGCATTGGGATGCACATGCTCAACCTATCATCGCTTTTTTAGCCATTTAAGAACAAAATTGGACGCAAGTATTAATACTGAAGTGGGATTCTGTGACCTGGTCATAGGATCGGATGAAGAAAAGGCAATCTTGAAAGCAGTTCAGCAACGTTTTCCTAGTGCCACTCAAGCTACTTTTGCCAGCGCCATCTGGAGGAGAATGTCAAACGCTATCTGCAGCATAAAATCGGCGTTCCCGACAAGATAAAGAAAGATATAATTTCTTTGATCTTTGGAAATGACGGACTAATAAATGCGAAGGATCTTGTAGAATTTGAAATGAAGGTTATGTCGTTATCCAGTATGATTTTGGATGCTGCTCCAAGCTTCGTGGATTACTTCGAGAGTTCTCTTGTTCAACGTGTCAGCGAATACATCTACAAACCTAAACTTTCCGTTGATTATATACCGCTTAATTGGACAAACACCAATGGTGAGTCACTGAACAACATCCTCAAGCTTTCAACCAACTGGAAAGTACTTAAATTGCCAGATTTAATTGAAAAAATGTACTCCATTGTAAAGCTACAATATGCTGATATGAGATGTGCACTTCATGGGCATGGCAATTATCAAGTTATACCAACACTGAAGTCATTTGTGCTGTCAAATGTCGCATGGTGTCAAAAGAATGAAGAGGGGAAATCAAAACACTTTCAAAGATTTATATCAGTGTCAACATCCAAAAAAGAAAAAGTTGTAACATCGACTGATGGTGAACTACAGATTCCTGCTGCCCCTTCAATCGCCAGAAAACCAGGGCAAAGAAAACGTGTTCGTACTGAAAGAACCACAACTCAAAAGCGAAAGAAGCCAATCAAAGACTTTGTTTACAAATCTGGTTTTGAATTTCAACTTGCAATTTGATCACGTCGGTTGCAACTTGCTCAGAGTAATCTCGCAATTAAAATTGCAATATTCCCAACAATATTGCAATATTCAGGGGAACTGCAGAACATCCGGTTTGACTGTAACACGACAACAGCAACATACACTCGAAAAACTCACTCGTGCATGTTTTTTCCAAATTGCACTCAAAACCATATTATTACCTATACAAATTTTTGGAAAATATATTGTTCTATTGATTAATTTTTAATGCTATACTTTATGTGATTGTACACAATGATCAATGCAATAAAATATTATTTCAAGAATTTGCACCGTTAAAGTATCTGGATATTTATTATATACTGACAAAGACAAGATAGCTAGTATATTTAAATCAAAGAGATTATACCAGATAAATTATTCTTTGTTACTTTTATACGATCGCTATAATTTATATGTACCAGTAAGACTTTTTGACGGCCTTTTCACAGGTTTTGACGGCCTTTTGACGGGTTTTGGCGGCTTTTGACGGTAATTAGTACGACCGTTATGTAGAACACACTCTCTCAAATAAAGGAGTTGACGTATGGAATTCATTAGAAACAAAATTTATAGATATAAATTTCTACAGCACTTTCAAAAAGCAAATTAAACAATATTTTTTACTATACAATGTATAAGATATGCTATAAAACATTCTGCTATATAACAAATGTAATAGTATATTGTAGTCTAATTCTTATAAGAACCCAAATGTATCTACAACATTGGTATTCACTTCTATAATAAGAACAATTTCTCTTCTTTTTCTCTCTTGTAAATATTCACTTCTATAATAAGAACAATTTCTCTTCTTTTTCTCTTGTAAATATATATATATATTCCTTTAATATTGTGATTGACTGTAAATAATTTATTACATAGCACAATACAAACTAGCATAACTAGAGACCTAAATAAAAAGTCTACTAAGATTTCTAGTAGGTCTCTAGCCCACACTCTACAATTATTGTAAATATACTACACATAAATTTATTGTACATGGGGAAATTTTTAAAATAAAAAAAAATAAAATAAAATAAAAAATGCGTAGTTAGAACATATCAAAGTGTTGAAAACCTGAATTTTTCAAAACTTTATTGAGCAACCTTAAACATCTCTTTGTCAAAACTGAGCACAGGCAGTCCAATCTTGCAAGGGTCAGTATAGACTTATAGTATAAATGTATATTATATTAATGTATATTATAGTAAAAATATGTCATAAAATATAAATTTTTAAATGAAATTGACTTGCCTATTTGATAGTGTGTGTTTTCAATTTATTCTTCCTTTGTTGGACAAATATTTTCTGAGACTTTGTACTCGATGTTACCAGTATACATGAAACATGATAAAGGCTAACGATTTCCTATCGTCTATATGATGGCATGGCACTTCGAATCGAAAATTCTCACACTCAAATCGCTTTATTCTCCAAAAAAATTCGCCAGCATGTAGAACAGAGTGCCGTTCTTCGAAAATACGGAGATACTTTGGCGAGATGTACAAGTTTTGGACCATATTTTAACAATGGAAATCAAAACCCATTTTATATTGAACTTGCCCAGGCCGAAAATTACTACAGTGAACGCCTGCGCAACCAGGCCTCCTTTACCGTTGGGATTTACAGGGGGGGGAGGATGCCACTAATATATTAACAATCATGTTTCGAATTAAAGTATCATATTCTACCATGCTTTCCAACAAAGAGCCACTGTATATTTCTTCCTTAAATTCCTACAATCTCCATCGTTTAGTTTTCTTTTCTTTGACAACATCTCGAGTTTTATACAGTTCCGATCGAAGGAGTTTTTATTTTGAATATCAAATTTAAAATATTTTTATATCTGGAGATTGTGCTCTCGACAAATGTGTGTGACCAAAAACATGGCAGATTTTACGTCACAATCAACCTATTTTCATGGGGGTTTCCACTGACCAGTGGCTCGAATGTCTGTGGGCGACAAAGTTCAACCTCCCCTGATTTTACAGTGTTTTATGTACTGACTGTTTATATTAGTTGATCAATGGAGAGTATTTTGATTTTTGTCCTTCTGAAAATAATATTATTTTAACTGCACGTATAAATCAATAAAGACCAAAAGCCATTAATAAAAAAAGACATGAATGGAGCTTTATGGCCACAAGGACAAAATATGTAAGTCATTGAAATGATTTATCAATAGTTTTCGTGTTGTATTGACTATTGTGAATTTGTGTTGCAACTGACTATCAAGATTCTTTAAAACATGAGTATTATTATAATCTCCAGCAAGTAAACTTAAACAAATATAGCTTGTTGAAAACCATATTGCTATAAATTTCCCTGAGTGACAAAGGTTTTTTTAGAGAACTCTTTGGAATAAGCACTTATCACCATTAAAGTTTTTTACACCTGTATGTATTCCGCTTTCAGGTATGAATTTATCAAGAAAATATGGTATATCTGTAGTAAAGTACAAGGTGGCAATGAAGAAAGTCAAGTGTATTTCTTTATAATGGTCTTCCTTGTAAAAGGTGATGGCACTATTTCATTGAGCATTCAAGGAACAATTGCCTTTTAGAACAAATATGCACATTTTTATGCTCTAGTTACAATGTTTGATATCTGCATTTTATGCGATTCATACCTTACCGTATTTACTCGTTTGAGCGCCGCGGCGCTCTTTAAATTTTCAGAGCTTCAGATGCGGCGCTCATTCGAGGGCGGCGCTCAATCGGGGGCGGCGTTCTTTAAAAAAACTTTTATTTGGGAATTATATCAAGAACTTTTAACAATAAAATAAACAAGTTTTGAATGTCTTTATCACTAAATGTCCCCATTTAGACGGTGGAAAATTATTACACTGTTTAGTGCGGCGCTCATTCGGGGGCGGCGCTCTTTAAAAAAAAATGATCTCAAATGCGGCGCTCATTCGGGGGCGGCGCTAGATCGAGTAAATACGGTATTTTTATTGGCATTACTGTTGTTCCAATTGAAGAGTTTCTCAAATATTGATTCAATACATTACCTCGGGCTGACCAATTCATTTCATCAAGATATTTGTTGTGTTGGTGTAATGTACTCAGGTGAATAAGATGCTTGTGTGATGTTACTCTGAGTGTATATCCACACCAGACAGACTTGAAAAATATGCCTGGCCATGGTGGGATTCGAACCTACGACCTTTGGAATACTAGCCCAATGCTCTGCCAACCGAGCTACACGGTCAGGTCGGTTCGAGTATGCGATATTTTGGAACTGTGTCTAGTTCCTTCGATATCAGTGTATTCTAATAATCATGATATTTGCTGTGTTGGTGTAATATACTCAGGTGAATAAGATGCTTGTTTGATGTTACTCTGAGTGTGCAGTATATCCGCACCGGGCAGGCTTGAAAAATCTGCCTGGCCGCATAGTATGGAAAATCATTGGGGCTAGTATTCCAAAGTTGGTAGGTTCGAATCCCACCATGGCCAGGCATATTTTTCAAGCTACCCGGTGTGGATATACACTCAGAGTAACATCACACAAGCATCTTATTCACCTGAGTACATTACACCAACACTTCAAATATCTAACCTGAGTATCAGGCCCTTATGTTTTCCTTCGCCAGGATTAATTGGCAGCAGCGAATCAAGGAGGGCCTGATACAATTCTTTACTGTGCCGCATGTAAAAAGCCAGATTCTGGCTTTTTCATCTGATTGGCCGATTAGACAAAAGATTTTTTAATCTGTCATTTGATTGGTTGGTGCTAATTAGATTACACTATTGTTGTTGATTATTTTATAATGATCACAACTACAATCATAGCCAGCCCACTAAACGGCTGAATTTAAATTAAAACTGCAATAAAATTAGAAAATAATTGCAAATTAGCAAAATATATTGCAAATGTAGCTTATATTAAATCTAATTTGTGATTATAAGTTCATTGGAGTTTTAATTTAAATTCAGCCGTTAGTGGGCTGTCTATGCTATAATTAGATTGTTGTTGTTGTTGTTGTGTAAAAGCGATCAGGTTAAGGTTTGTGTCAGGCTCTATTTGTAAAATAGAGCCTGATACTCAGGTTAGCAAATATCATGATTATTAGAATACACCGATATTGAAGTAACTAGACACAGTTCCAAAATATTGCATACTTGAACCAACCTGACCTCATAGCTCAGTTGGCAGAGCATTCGGCTAGTATTCCAAAGGTCATAGGTTCGAATCCCACCGTGGCCAGGCATATTTTTCAAGCCTGCCCGGTGTGGATATATACTCATCAGAGTAACATAACACAAGCATCTCATTTCATTGAGTTCCTCGAGATATTCATACACTTCCTGTAAAAGAGCCAATTCCAAGTATTTGATCATTTCTGGTCACTTCCTTTCTATTTATGATTGGTTAGTTGCACAAACAACAAAGGTGATTGGTGCATTAATTCAAACTATTCAACAGGAAGTTTACAATTATACTAGGAAGTGTATGAATATCTCAAGGAACTTGATCAAATGAATTGGTCAGCCCAAGGTAATGTATTGAATCAATATTTGAGGAACACTTCAATTGGAACGACAGTGAAGAATTATTAAAAAAATATTTTATTCAAAAAAATATTTTCCAAGATAATTGTATAATTTCATTTAGTAATAGGATAAATAATATATTCAATTTCAAATCACAACAAAATTTATTCTTTATTTTAAAATACATACAACACCAATTTAATTGAATAAGATGCTCAACCAATTCTATGCATGTCAATCCCCCACTTGATGGTCAGGACTTACAGTAATTATGCTAGCGTAATTAATTTGTACACTAACACAAATGGTCGAAATAAATGGAAATGTACCAATCTTGGCTTAGCTGAACAGGCCAAAACGTGTGCAAATAACTTCAAGTAGTTAGCAGAAATAAGGAATAAATATTTATTGTATTGTGCTGTCCACTTTCTAGTTAAAGTTTAATTTAATACAGTACTACTTGATGCTATCCAACTTGAGAATCAATGTGAAATGGTCAAGTTATATGTGGTAAATACAGATCATGTTGAGACAAACAGGCCAGAATTGTTATTTGCACAATAATTGGGATTTTGTGAAAATGACAGTTACCAGTTGCTATTGGATTTTGAATATCAATATTAACTAAATTCACACACAAGGGAGATAAGCATGCATATAATTGATTGAGACAAAATTAATATATTTCCACACACCCAGCATAGCATTCTTGTTTAATATTAATCAACAATAAATGTACACAACTGTACTTTCATATTTCATAAACAGTGTAATTGTGAATGATGATGTCTTACAATTGAAAAAAACTGTGTAATTTTAATGAATACAGGAATATAGGCTAATAGTTTCAACAACTTTCAAAACCTTTGTAACTTAAGCTTTACCTGTGCAAAATTCCTACTGTGATGACAGAAACTTTGATATTGTTAACTAGCCTCAGGCGACTGTAGTAATTTAAACATACATACTGGCATGGCATTCTTTGGCATGATGACCTTTAAGGCCACATTTGCGGCATCTTCCTGGAATGATAAAAGGTGAACTGTTAAATTAGCATTTTAAGAAAGAATAGGTTGTGTTAGGGTATTTTAATCGGTTCATGTTACTGTTTTTTTATGCTGCTAATATTGTTCAAATTTACGGGTCGCTTTTTTACCTCTTCTTCGCTCTTTTACATCTAAAACAATTAATAAAACATGTATTGGTATGGTATGAAATGCTGCAATCATATTTTAATTATGCTAAAGGTAAAGTTGTGGAAAAGGGCTTTTCAATTAAAATATGAAGCATTGGATGTGAACAAGAGGTTACATATTTACATACCACTATATAACTTGCTATTATGTAGCAAATTTTATGGAATAAGAATATACTGTAAAGGCTATTTACCATCTGTATCACCATCATCACCTAAGAATAAAAATGTTTTGTGAGTAAGATTTAAAACTTTTAGGCATATGTTTTCCTTGTAAAGTATGACAAAATGAACAGTTATAGTATTACCATTTTCCTCATTTCTTCTAACAGCACTCCCCTCAATATCTGGTAAATTTGAAAAAAAAAAAACTTGAGAAACACTATACAGTATATCATAATTTACAAGAAAGTACATGTTAGACATGTAATGGAACAAAACAACTGATTGGTGTTTTGTTATCTACTTGTTCTGTAAATAATAAATAAGAATACATGTATGGTTTAAAATATGAAAAAAGCCTTTACCTTCACCTTTGCTCTTCTACAGTAATGAATGATTTTACAACAATTAGCTAATAAATACCATTAATAAGTAATTATAATTTTAATAGGAGTTTATCCTACCTTCTTCCCCTGTTTTGCGCTCTTCCACTAAAAACGCAAGTTTTCACATAGTTTGCACATCAATTTTCCCGCCTCGCAATTCAAACAAATACAAAGTCGTACCTAGTCTCTTTCCGAGCATCTGCTGTATATTGTCAGCGTGGTGCATAGTCTCATAGAAAATAGAAATAATAGATATAGAATGCGTACTCGGTCACTATGCTATGGTGTGGTGTTAGGTTTTTTTAGGTTTACGTTTCAAAACAAGACAAAATGTAAATTACCAACTTACCGATAAAATGCCCACCATAATATTATACATCTGTTAAATCATTTAATCAATCCACTTAATTCTAGCAACTTGTAGAATCTATATGCATATACAATAAAAGGCATGATAATCAGCTAATATGTCTTATTTCATTATTTATTTTGACTTTTACGGCTCAACCTATTAATGACTGTTCATTTTTTTGTTATAAAAGTTTTCGTGGGGGTATTACTACTGATCCAGGTTTAGCATACTTCATTGCAGGTTCCAGTATAGTTAGATTTTGTAGTGTTGAATGGTTGAATGACAGGTAGTATTTTTCAGATGCAAATGCCTGAGAAAAAAACAAAAAATTAGTTACCGACAAACGTTAATGGTTATTTTACATGATGAGTTTTTATGCATCTGCTACTGTATTTGACATGCACATACCGGCGGAAGTGAAGGATAAATACGTTGACTGTAGTTTTGGTCAAAATTATGGTGATGCTCGCGGACATCCTGTAGTGTGTTAATTTGTTTGTTTTCCAGTTCAGTAGGCTGTCATAATTTTTAATTGTATATCCAGGTTTTCGTAAAGGTATAAGTGATATTTATGCATTAAACACGGCATAACATGTAACTTTTATAAAGAGATGAAAAGCCAACTTATTTTTAGTTTATTTACTTATCTAGTATTTTACTTAGTTTATTTCTTAGCAAACCATGTATGCATGGTGTCAATCTCTCGAACACATTGTAAAATGCGCAGTATCATTGACTCGCTAACATTTCACGGTAATTCTCGAACACATAAAATATGTGCAGGATCATTACCATCACAGTCAAATCTCAAACACATATAAAATGTGCAGTAACGTGACCATCTTCGCAAACTTACTGTCCTTTGAACAACGTAAGTTTCGAAAACTCTTTACATACTAACTTTCCAGTGGCGGCGCCAGGGGGGGGCAAGGGGGGGGGGGGGA